GACATAGTAGTGACACTAGAGGAGGTGCGTAGGGTTCTGTTGGAACTCAACCTAAACAAAGCACCAGGGCCAGACGGGATTCATCCCGCCATCCTTAAACCACTAACGCATGTCCTTGCTACATACGTGAACCTGCTCTTCCAAGTGTCACTAGCGGACGGAGTTGTACCTAGTGACTGGAAGACAGCTACTAGCGCTTCACAAGGGTGGTCAGCAATCCGATGTAAGAAACTATAGACCAGTAAGCCTAATCAGCATCCTCTGCAAATGCATGGAGAAGCTGATTAGGGAACATGTAAATCGACATCTACTGCGTTACACCCAACTAAGTGGGGCGCAGCACGGATTCTTAAAACACATCTTGTCTCATTAACCATCTGTGCTACCTGGATGAAGTCACAGAGAGATTAGATGAGGGCCATACCATTGAGGTTTGCTACCTCGATTTCAGCAAGGCTTTCGACTCTGTAAACCACAGAGTGCTCCTTCACAAAATCAAAAGCTTTGGGCTAGGAGGAAATCTGCATGGTTAACCGCCTTTCTCACAAATTGAACCTTCGCAGTGAGAGCAGGGGAACCCAGCTCTCAGGTCATTCCATTGACCAATGGATTGCCTCAAGTTTTGGTTCTCGGACCGTTACTCTTCCTCTTATTCATCAACGACTTGGTGGGGTCAACCAACTTACCCTGTTTGGTCTTCGCGGTTGACGTGAAGGTGGTGGGATCGAGTGGTAGAGCTAACCTAGTGAGCGACATTCAACGGGTGGTTGAGTGATCAAGTAAGTGGGACTTGGCAGTGAATGCGGCCAAGTGTCAACTATTGACCAAGCAAACAGATCCGTTAGTTGTTGCCGGAACGTGGGGAGTGTTCGAAGTCAAACCGGTAGAAACTGCCAAGGATCTTGGGTTAGTAATGAATTCGAATTTCAGCTGGCGCAGCCAATGCGAAATCACAGCTCAAAAGGCATGGGGAGAATTTTTCCGGCTCAGATCTGCTCTTTCTAGCAGAAAACCGGAAACCTTCGTCCCCTTATACAAGGCGATAGTAAGGCCTCATCTAGAATACTGTGTCCAAGCCTGGGCACCTCTGCACAAAAAAGACACTGCTTGCCTGGAGAAAGTGCAGAGACTAGCTAAAAGAATGGTAGAGGGACAGAGGGGTAAATCATACCAGAAAAGATTAGGGACCTCGATCTATTTTCGCTGGAAAGAAGGCAAAGTAGAGGAGACCTCATTAGGCGTTCAAAATTAGGAGGGGTTTCACTGGGATTCTTCCTGAGGAACTCTTCACTGATGATCCATATGCTGGTACCAGGGGCCACGAGCAAACACTGATGAAGAAAAGGAGTAGGCTAGGTGTGAGGTCCAACTACTTCAACAACAGAATAGTAAATAGGTGGAATAGACTACCTGAGGAACTAGTCAACTTGCATAGTATCCATGCCATCAAACTGGCTTTGAATAAGAGGTGGTTAGAACTGTTTCCGAACGAGGATTACTGAACAGGATGCGACCGTTAGGTTCATAACTTAAATTTGTATACGATATGGAACGCATTCAAATTAAAAGTCTCTCGCCCACAGGGCGAAAAGTAAAATTTCTCTTTCTCTCTGTTTTCAGACAGGCGAAGAAACCGATCAATTGAAGAGGTGGATGTTTCGTGACTAGATGGTTGCTGATATTCGTCAGAACCCGTCGCTAATGTTTACTCACGTCCGTTTTGAATATTCGTCCCAAGTGGAAACAGAACCAGAGATTGCGTTCATTGAAAACGATATATTCTGAGATCTTCAGAAAGGTTGGAAGTAGATTTAGCTAAACCTAGGCTGATATTTAAGCAACGGCAGCGGAAACCTGAAAGTAGATCTGATCAATGCAACGAAAGCGTGCAATACAGAGCTCACCGTGGGGATTGTGTCGGTGCACACTTTTCGAGTTCATTAAAAGAACGCTAATAGTTAAAGCAAAACATAATCCTGGAAATGTCCAAGTTGCTTTATCCAATAGAGAAACTTTTCTCAGAGTATAGCTATTGCCAACTAATGGCGATAAATGCTAAATCTCGACGGTACACTTGATTGTGTCCGGTGGATAAGGGTCCTTAAAGGAAGAAGGAAAAAGCCTGATGGTATTTTAGCTATCTGGTCGATAAGTTAAGTCGCTACTTGATTTCTGAACCTTGATGGTTGTGATAAGTATTCCATGGTTATGTACCATGCCTTAATAGTCCTCAATTATACAGGACCGGTTAGAAAGTGAACCTATCCTGCTGTTAGTCACCAGCGTAGGGTGAAAGTACTTCTGGTACGTGATTTGATGATCACGTCCAGCTTGAATGGATCTGCCAAGAAACTTAGAGAAAAACAAGAGGTAAGAAGAGAAAACTGCTGTTGCGAAACTGTCGGTTGAAGAACCGTTACAGATGCACACTCGTGAGCACACCACCGAAGGAATTCTGGAGTCTTGATTGGCCTGTGGCCGCTACCAGTCCTGTGCAACCTGACCAGACCTGACAGAACGCTAGAAAGCAGACACAACAAACCAGCGGCCAAACTAGGCAGCCGATATGGTAAAATCAACCAAGAAGAACCGGCCGGAGCGGAGCAGTATATAAACTGGGTAACCAAACCAGGTGATGCGTCTCTGGAAACTAAATGAAGCCATATAAAGACAGGACTTCTCCTACTTACGGACAGGTTTGCGCCTTTGGTTCCGTTAGGAAGGAAGCAACGGCCTCCATGATGGAAAGCAAATACAAATAGGGCTATAACCATTCGTAGAAGACGGTGGGCGGTCTATAAACAGTATGGCACCCACCAGTCGTGGAATGGTTACAAACAAGCGGGCAACTATGCACAGAAAGTGCAAGGAGAGGCTAAATACCAATTTGAGGGAAACTTGACGCAAAACGTAAAGCAAAATCCTAAGTGTTTTTACGCTTATGTTCAATCTAAGCGCAACACTCGGGAAACGGTTGGTACTCTGGAATCGTCGACCGGAGAGTTAGCAGTGAGTGAAGGCGACAGGGCACGCATCCTATTACGGTTCTTCAAAAGCACGTNCCTGCCAACTCCCGCTGCACGTACAGGATCCCCATGGTGACAGATAACCTTCCATCAATTGAAGTTAACTGCACGATTCCATCAATCACTGTTGGAATTCAGGATGTGCAGCGGGAGTTGGCAGGGCTAAATAGGCTCAAGACGGCGGGACCTGACGGAATTCACCCAGCGATTGTACAACCGCTGGCTGACGTCATATTTGAGCCAATCTTTGAGTTATTTTAAGAATCTCTTAGACTGGGAACTGTCCTGAACGACTGGCGCAAAGCCACAAAAAGACGAGAATTACAGATCAGTGAGTTTGACATCAGTAATATGTAAGTGTTTAGAGGGCCTAGTTAGAAGAGAAATATGCCACTACATGGTCAATAGCGGGCTGTTGGTATCAGCCCAGCACGGATTGGTTGAAAAGCGATCTTGTCTGACAAACCTGCTGGGTTTTCTAGACAAGGTCACACGTAGAATTGATGAGGGTCAACCGGTGGAGGTATGCTATCTGGACTTCCACAAGGCATTCGACTCGCTCAGCCATCATCTGTTGGAGCATAAGATGAAATTATTGGGAGTAGATGGGCAATTTACAGTGGTGGGTGCACACTTTGTGAGCATACTGCCGGAAGAAATCTGGACGCTCGATTGACCGTGGCCATTATCAGTCCTGTGCAACCTGACCTGACCTGACCTGACCTGATGTCAGGAACTGGTTAATGGGCTTTCTTAGGCAGAGGACGTTTAGTGTCAAAGTAGGAGCTTGCACATCCGAGGATGAAGTGGTCACAAGCGGCGTACCCCGAAGATCCGTACTTGGACCACTGCTGTTCCTGCTATAAATTAACGACCTAGCACGGGATCTCTACAATCCTGTTTGCAGATGACGTCAAGATAGCTGGGTGGGATCTAGCAAGGAACATGATGGTAGTACAAAGATGGGCCGAACAATGGGACCTACCACTGAACGTCTTGAAATGTTAGATACTGATGACCAGAAATGACGAAGATGGTATATCAGGTCTTAGGTTTGACGACCTGTTCTCCTGGGTCCCGCATAGAGGCACGCGGGGACATTACTTACGTTTGCAGAAAAGCCACTCTAGGCTACAACTGAGAGCAACGTTTTCCACTAACAGGGTAATTCCGTTGTGGAACCGGTTGCCGCCCTCAGCGGTAAGCTGCATTACTGTTAATGCTTTTATAAAGGCACTTGATGAATTTTGGATAGCGGCCTTCCCTGAGGTAAGCGTTTAGAACCATCTATAACCTAACCACAAGGGACGTGATGCTGCACCACGTATTTTTGCCTTTCATAAAAATAGCACATCGAAGTGTTGGAAGCCAAGGAAACCCGCCGATAACACACAAATCTGGACGCTCGATTTGCAAGAGCCACAATTCGTCTTAAGAAAACTGAACTGAACTGAATTGTGGTACATTAGTGCCCGGTTTGAATTTGCTCGTGATCGAAAGTATTTTTGCTCAGCTAATTGTGAAATATCAAGAGGTATTTCAAGCTATATATTGTAAAATATTCACTTTCATTATTCGTTTCGTTTTGTGACCTCAAAAAAGTCACACTTTCAAAGCGTCATATAATTAAGAGTGAAATATCAGTAGATATTTCATAGGCTTGTTCCCAGTCGTTGCATCGTACAGTCGATCCAAATGGTCGGCCAGTTTTACTTTTTAGGAATTTTTGGTCCCGTTTTAACGCGGGCTTGAGTCATTTTTGATCGAGTATTTTTGTCCAGGGATTTTCGCAACTTGAAGTGCTTTTCCTATATATTGTTTTTTCCGTACGATACGTGATCTATATTCATATCTACTAAAGCAACCATGGTACAGCACCCTGACACGTGTGGAGCCAGGGGTTGCGATAGAGCGGTTAGTAATGGTATCCAGTGTAATAGATGCGGCTCGTGGTACCACGAAAAATGCTCCAAGATGTCGAAGCAGTGCTATGCGCTGCACCTTTGGCATGGAGAATTGAAGTGGATATGCGCACACTGCGAGGCTCTGATAGAGGAATGTTCACGCATTCTGAAAGGAGCCTTGCTAGGGGCTATGACCACCAGTTCATCACTAACCTCCAATACCCGCGAGCCGAGACCAGCAGCGAAGCAGGTGGAGGCGGTGAAGCCTGGCGTTAAACATATTATGAAGGAAAGCAATGGAAAGGAGAAAATCACGAGCACAAAGGGAAAGAAACCACTCAAAGGGGCTACGGTTAAACCGCTGGCGTCGATAGAGGTGTCTGCACGTGTAGAACGTTTGAAGAAAGATCTGCAAGAACTGCAACGCAGCACACAAGCGCTACTGGGTCGAGCGAGAAACGCCTTGCTGCATAACTTTGCGGAGCCGTTGATTCGTGATATTAAAGCGCGACGAGAGGCGTATGTTTTTCGACTGGCGGGTATACCGGCCAATACGCCCTATGTTAAGTGCCAGAGGGTTGGGCTGTGGAGGCAGAACCAGACAACCAGACCCAGGCCCATACTAGTAGTATTTTGCAGCACATACAGCCGGGACCTTCTGCTCTCTAAGGCTATTGCAGTGGAGATGAACACCAGGGGGTGCATCAAAGTCACCCCTGATACAGTTCATCACGCCCAGCGGGGCGTCATTCTCACTGCTCCTGCAACAGGAATAATGCAACAAAGGAGGCCCAAAGTTATCCTGAGCAAACTAAACGCACCAATGGCGCATGGGGTGGGAGTCGGCGAGGCATGTCAACGCAGGGTGGTCCATCAAAGTCTATCAGCTGGGTCACCATTGAGCAAGTCCACACCCATAAAACCGAAGCCAGATGGGCCAAAAAGCGGCAACAAGAGGGCGGAAAAGCCGAGGCAGTCCCGAGCTGGAGTCCCCGGGAGGAAAACAGATAACAGAAGAGCAGACGGTCCACTAAAGATCGCTCTGTCGGAGCCATGGGTGAGTCTACGGTCGCTGATACCAAGGCGAAATCAGCGTCTGTTAGCTGGGCCACAGTGGTAGCAAGGGATATTCAGGACACTCCCCCTCTGAGTAG